AGAGGAGAGAGAGACAAAGAGCTGAATGGTAAGATAGCGAGATGCAAAGCAAGCCAGATTTTCTGAGTCCCAAAAACAGAGCAAGCATACCCAGAGGGACAGACAAATCTTCTAACAGCAAGTTTTTCATCCTCCCTGATCCTCTCATGTCTCTTTGCTCTGGACCCAGGACAAATCTGACCAGAACACTGAGTTCCACCACAAGAACCTCATCCTGACCTCGCTCTCGCTCTTCTTTGCTGGCACAGAAACCACCAGCACAACTCTACGTTATGGCTTCCTGTTTTTGCTCAAGTACCCCCATATAACAGGTGTGCAATAGGTAGCCCATTGAGAAGAACTTTTGATGTCATTTGGGATGCAGAGGCAGGGTGGGGGACCCCATGGATGACAGGTAACACTGGGCACTTGTGCCATGAACTCTACATGTTTTAGAAAAACTCCAAGCTAAGCCATTCCTGGGGATTTACAGGGAAATGAAAAATCTATTGGCCTGTTTTTCTACTGTTTTCTTCTATCACACTTAAAAACTGAACCATCCAACCATTCATCTGTTTATTAATTACCCTGTATACTTACTGATCACTTATCTGTGTTTCATCAAAGAGCATATATTTTTCTTTATTTATTTGGATTAACTGACTCATGCTGAACATTTGACACTATTAGTTGTCACGGATACATTGGTTCATTGAATTATTCATGCATCCACCCATTCATTTATCTTTGAACTAGGTTTCATTCCCTAATCTGCAGTTTTTCAATCGATGCTTCATTCATCCATCATTCCTGCATTTCTTGAGTTCATAACTCATTTGTTCACGCAAGATTCACTTTTTTCTCCAAATCTTCCATGCTCTTATTAGTTCATCTCCTCATACCTTCACTAATTTATTCATTATACAGCCCTTTATAAACCTAGGGCTTATGTGATTATACAACAGCTTATTGTACTGAATGTGTACTGTTTATTAATAGATTAAGTCATCTTTAGATGATTGATGAATCAAATATGTACATCTATTCGCTGGTTTGTTCATCTCATTCATTGATCAATTTTTTCATTTATTGACTTAGCCATTGCTTGATTGATGGACTCATTTTATCATCTACTTGTGCAAGTATTAATTGATTCTTTTCTTCTGCATTATGATTTTTGACCTAGCAATGACACATTTGGGTTCACAAGAAATATTAGCTCATTTCTTATTTACTTTGGAGGAGGAATTTTGGAGTTCTTCATATACAATCATTTGCAAAATAGTGCTGTGTGTGTATCTATAACTGTGGACGTGGAGAGATTATTTCCAACATTAATTAGATTTCATTTTATTTTTTAACTGAACCATAAATAATTTTATTCAATGATATGTCCATTGATTTGAACAAGTCAGTTATATGCTTTATTAACTAAATTACTATGTACACATTCTTAATGATGATTATAGCAAATCTTTATCACAGCATACTAGTTTCTAAAAGAATGTATCTCATTACTTGAAAGATGTGAGTCATCATTCCTTTAAAGAGCAAGAGAAATTATATCAAAGAGCACAATTGTTTTTCTTACTGTACTGAAGATCTCTAAAATGGTTTTTTTACTCATTTTGTGATTACTTTTCTTTCAAGATTGATTGTTTTGAGAACTATGCAAAATATAATTGTTTAGATGAAGCCATTTAAAAGGTCATTGAAGATTTCCACAAAACAGTATCAATCTTATG